TCTTTGCACGAGATACACCGTGAAAGTTGTCTTTTATGTACCCTATCATCTTACGCTTACAAACAGACAAACAAGAATATTGGCACTTTTATGACCCGCTCTCTTAAACAATAATCAATAGACTACTTATGCATAGCCTTCATACCATCAATACGTTTACTTTTTTTGCGCGCATGAGACCAAAACTGAGACAAAAACTTTGTTTTAGTTGAACCTCGCTCTCCTACGCTCTCCATGGTTAATTAAGGACGAATAGAATCGGGCATTGATATTCCTTGTTTCCTTGCTTATTCTTTGAACGTACCACAAAAACTAAAGCGTGAGTGCATATTTCATTAAACTCAGAAACGAGAAATTTAGCACTTTCAAACTACCCGCCTACTCACATAACAATCTAAGGACTGAAATTAGCCCGCGGTTCCATTAACTCTATCAAAGTCGCTTTATCACGCCTTTTGCTCATATCTTTTCGCGTGTAGTTAATTTAAATATTAAAAGCTCTCATGAAGCGTACGCCTCTATTGTTATGGAGAACAAAACACCAAGTAGGAACCAGTCCTCTGATAAAAATCTCGATCCATCCACGGGCTTCGATTGCTGTAAGAGGGGAAAGCGTAATTCATTTAACATAAATAGTTTTCATCATCGCACACAGAACCAAAATGGAAGACATCATTGAAGAAAAACTCGTCTAAGTAAAGTGGAGCCGAGGTCAGTTTTCTGAAGTGTCTCGATCGGACATAGCTATAAAAGTTATGCTAATGAAAGCTTGTTATTTTACTTCAATGAAATGTATAATGTTCTCCAGGCAGATTGTTTATATGTTGTGTTGTTTTGTTTTGTTTTGCTTTTATGATTTGTATGTTGTACTAGTGAGAAAGACCCTCCGCTCCTCCTAGCGCTGCGACAATTAATAATTTGTTTTTCTTAGGTTTTTTCTGTTTTTCTGATTTTTTTTTCTGTTTTTCTTTTCTTTTTTTTTGGCTGAGGTGATCAAGGCCTATTCTTACCAGTGCCGCAGTACTGACGAAACGAGTCGCATGTGAGATACGTGCAAGGTTAGCATCAGAAAATGCTGCCAGTATTTGCGAAAAAATGAAAAAGAAAAGCGCCCAAACTAAGTTGATCTTGATTTACCAATTTTTCGAATATTAAATCTAAATATTTCCCTTGTGGCCTACCTCCTTTCACAATGCTGCAACGAGCTTCAAATAAAGCCCCATTTTAAACTGGCTGCATTTACTATAATTACATGTACCTATTGACTACGCTGTCATTGAATGTTAGCTTTGCTGACGCACTAAAATAACATTAACAACTTACATATACCAAAACATAATGGGGGAGGAATAAGAAATAACTTATAATTATTTCGCTTGAACGAGATATAGTAGACAAGCATTTCTCGCCATAAGAAAACTCGCTGAGGCGATATATCACTAGAACGATATATCGCAATGAGTCTTTCCTGATTCAACGACAAATCGCTGGAACGATATTTCACTGAAGCGATATATTGTAATGATGTTCTGCACGCTCTACGATATATCGTTTTAGCGATATATCGCCGGAACGATGTATCATTGGAACGATTTATCGTCGGAACGAGATATCGCAGGAAAGCTCCGATATCTCGTCGATTTATCGTTCTTAAGGTGTCAAGAAAATGAACGATATATCGGAAAAGCGCGATAAACGACGATAATCGTTTGCATTACTTTTGCACAATACTGTATATTTCAATTTGTCAAAACGAGAAAGCTCCTTCACAGTTGGTTTTCTCTCCTAGCGGAGATAAAACTAGTTACTCTTGATTAATATTAAAGCAAAAGATTTATTCTGAATAACAACAATTAATCCTTTTTTGCCAAGCTTGTTCGGTCAATGTGGCATTCATACAATGCTACGTCTAATGTAAACATTTTTTTTTCTTTTTTACAGCATATGTCTTGTGGATATGAAAGCGACCTTCGCGGTAATGAACACTAGTTAAGCAGTAGCGAAAAGAAGGCCTGAAAAAAAATTCAGGCTTGTCAGTACAGGATTTGAACCCATAAACTCTGCGATACCGGTGCAGTGCTCTACCAACTACCGGGAGCTGGTCACTGTGTTGGTTCCAAATAAACCCATGAAGTGGTAAATAAACGGCTGTAAATATACGAGAGTCATACGCTCAAATATACGACTTTCATTTATTTACAGCCGTTTAACATATTTCTTATTTACAAGTTCTCGCCGATCATCTGCTACCCTGGCTACCAAGTTAATAAACCCATTGGCCAAAGGTCCAACCTCATCGGCCGAATTCTAAATCTTCTTCTTTTTTTTTATTACACATCGACCAAATCCATCTTAACTTTATCTTTCTTTATCTTACTCTATTCTCTCCCTGTCGCCCACACCCAGGTTAATCTCGACGTTGATTACACGTCGAGGACTCGTAATACTCATTACAAACCAGAAGATTAGCTAGTCTAAGAGTTATTTCACAGTCCACTTTCTCAATAGATCCTTCAGTTCAGCGTCAGCCGTGACTGACCCATGATAATGCTTAAAGCTTGCTTCCCGTTTTCGTAATGGATCGGAAATTCGATATCTTTGTACCCAAGGATGTTCAACCCCTGAGGACACTGTACGGAAAGGTTTTGTCCAATAAAACATGACCGTGCAAGATTATTTTTAAAACGAAACGAAGTTAGTTAAAATGATTAGGGGGAAAAAAACTTCATCTGGCTCTAATGCCAGACGATTGTTAAACAACAGCACGAAATACTTTGACAACTTTTTGACAGTAAATGTTCCCATTTTTAAATCCCGAGAGACCTCCGACCCCATTCTGATAACTATATTGAAAAATGCAACCCCATTATAGTCAATCCCGTCGTGAAAATGCGCCCAATCCAGCGGAAAAGCCCGATTAGCCTCTTCCTATGAAGCACTTCCCCACCGCCCCACGGGCATGCACACCGCAAGAAATGATACTTGCGGGGTCTTGTCAAACACCGCTTCTGCACAATGACGTACTTCAAAATCTCTAAAACGTTTATTTATCTCCACGTTGCTTAATCGCCACGTAATCCTAGCCCTGGCAATCAAGCACTGTCACTAAGTTGAATTCTTTGAGTGTCGGAACAAGCTTAATTTGGGAGTCCTGATCAGTTCATGTTCTCTCGAAAGGCTGTAACAGTAACAGCCAAAGTTCCCCATACAGAGATTAGAAAATGCCATTCAGATAATTTTATTTTGAAGAATTTAAATTCTTGTTTTGTTTTTTTCTTTCTTTCTTTGGGTGGCATTGAGAGGCATTCTACAATAGTATATATGCTGCTACACCTCACCGGGCGGATATTGCGGAAGATTAGGTATAAGATAGACAAACGGAAACTCAGATGCTAACGGTAAAGAAAAAAAAAAAAAAAACGTCTGCATACTTGCCTTAATAACTCATAGTGGAAAAAATTTAAGATAGCGCGCGCGCTGTCGTTGGCCGATAGGTAAGTTTTAATTGAGACTTCATGCCTTCTTCATTTGTCGTATCATGTTTGAGACGTTAAAGAAAAGACAGGAAACTCTAACCGACCAAATGCTTGAGACATTCGTGGAGAGTCTGTGAGACAAAACAAAAACAAAACAAAAAACAAATCACTAGGATTAAAACTGAACGTCTTCATTTACAACACTATTGTGCAATAGCATCGCATTTCAACATTCCTATCCTCGCAGTATAGAGGAAGATTGTCGCCATGGACCTAGTTAAACAACTCAGCCTGTGACGAGTCTCCCGAAAATCCGAAAATCCGAAATAAGAGTTCTTTTTCCACTTATGCCTGTGTCAACCACTAAAAAACATCATCTTAAAAAAACAAATAAACAAACAAACAAACAAATAGCTAATCTTGATATTATTCGCGCGTAAGGGACTTGGGAGTTGCTCAAGGTCCTCTTTCTAATGCTCAATAGATTCTTCAGTGTATTGATAGCCGTGATAATCCCTTTACCGGCTTTTTACTTTCAAGATCTCATGAGAAATTATCGATACTGGCGGCGATTCAATTATTTTGATGTTACTTTGGGGAACTTTGTATTGGATCCTGCAATAAATAATTCCCTTATTGATATTTCTCGATATTCTCAACACTCGACTACTTGTATTGATGCTGTAAGAAGAAATTCTGCCTTCAAGCTACTTGAAGGTGGCAGCAACCCGTTTACGTAATGGATCAGAAATTCAACGACTTTATTCTGGCAGCATTTCAACCCGCAAAGCCGATTCGACCGATAAGTTAAATCCAATAAACACGACAATTAAGATTTATCGAAGATTACTTAAACTGTCTCAATTTCTCTCAATACGAAAGAGGCTAGTCCATAAAAAGCGAAAACGTAGCGTTTCTGCGCATTTATAAACAAAACTATTGGCTTTTTATTTTAGAGATTTTAAATTGAGAGGGAAACGAATAATAAACATTACCTCAGTGTCTCGGACTTTTCCTTCAAAGACTGATAGCTAAATAGCTTAATGATCAGTCGCCATCTGTTTTGAAGATTCCGACCATGTGACGGTTTAAGCGAAAATTTATGACGAATTTTCCAAGTTCGGTATTTGCTATTTGTGCTACTCCGTGACTTTGAGAGAGAAATTTATGACTTTTTCATCGTTCATTTTGATCAATTTCCAGTTTCATCAGATGTTAGAACAATGCACAGACAATCAAGGGTCAAAGTACGTACGTTTCCTTGCCATGCCGTGACCAAAATAAAATTTTAATCCTTCTTTATGCAGGGTTTCACAGATAATTCCTTAGAGATTACAAATAGCGTTTTCCGTTCGTATCTATCCTAGTTTGGGACACATATGTCTTTTTCTTTTGTTATGTTTTGTTTTGTTTTGGTTTTATTTGTATCAAAAAGATATGCAAAATAAAGTATTTGTGAAGTTGTTTAACAATTTGTGATTATTGATAGCGCTAAGAAGATAAAGCTTTAAAAATCATTAGAAAACGAAAAACTAAAAATAAGTTAAAAACATCAAATTTTATGAGCTCCAGCTGGTAGCTTAGAACGTTCCATAGATATAAATCTTCCTGAATTAATTTCGATGTGATGAAAACATTCTTTTTTAAAATCGCATTTTATCAACTATATATGGTTAAGTCTATGATTTCGTCTTTTTTTCTAATCTGTATATTCTAAATACTTTAAAATCTAGAATTAAAAGGCGTTTTATTTCTTGTTATGCAAATTTCTTCTTAACGTTTCAAAACAGCATCGATTGGTCCGGATAAATTTCTTTGACAGATATTAGAAAACTGAATTCACAGATATTTTGGTTTAATTTAAACAGCAAACAAACTATTTTTTTTTAAATTATAGCGTTTTCAAATCAACAATGAATAGAGCGTAAAAAAGGATCAACATCACCATGCATGCAAAGGTCACTCGATCATTAATCTGCCAATCACAATTGCAATAAAAGCGAAGTCGACCGATCAGAGGGGGCAGAAATCACTAATTACATGAACACTTTACCGTCAGAAAGTTTTAAAAAAAATCCACTGGTCTAATTTTCATTTCAGTTGATGTGGGGGCGCTGCCTTCGGGACTGTTTTGATCTAATTTATCCCAATGGATATTGGCCCAGGTCTCCTTTCGACAATGCGGATAAATTCCGTTGAGATTCGACGAAACAGCACAATCACTACTGCTGCCATACCACCAGCCTCCGCCTCTTTTTGGAGTACAATTAGCAGCATCTCTATCCCAGGTACCAAAAATGAGATCTTTGTGAGGATTGAGGGAATCAGAGGAAACAGTTGAATCTGCTTAAAAAAAAAAAAAAGAAAATTCCATAATATTAGGATCAACTTGAGATAACACTTTTGACACCTCAAACTCGATAGCAACTATTATCGAAATACAAAAATATCGGGCAAAATTATAAATGCTAAAATTCTATGATTTTGCTTTAGTCGAGTTCAATGACTTTTCTATCTAAAGCAACTTCGAGAGCAAACTATCCACGGAAGAGCGTCGACTGAACTAAGTACGGGCATAATTAATAGAAAAACACAGTCAGGCGGGTATACGCTAGAACAAACCATTGTTTGCAGGTTACGAGGAGTTGGGAAAAGGGATTAAATTTAAAATCAGTTTTCCTTAGGATTCAAGTTGTCATTGATTTGTATTTTCAATTTGCTAAATTTGAAGTGGAAGAACATCAGTTTAAGCAGCCTTTCTGAAGAAACAGACTTAAAATCGTTTTTAGCAAAACAGCTTTTTTAAAGCTTTGGCAAGTATGGGGCAGTAGACGTTGATAGGGAAGTAACACATAAAAATCGAACGATGAATGTTTAAAAAGATGGTTTACTTACTTGTCATATTGCCAATGTATAGCCGGTAGTGAGCCGTCCCGTTCCCAATCCCAAACCATTCATACTCAGCGTGAACAGTTTGGCAGGTAGTTACCCCCAGATCTACTCGAAGCATGTTCTTTGTCTTGTTTTGTGTTAGACGGTTTATCTTGTCCAGTCCGAGCCAAAATTCACCGACCAAGTTACCGAAGCCATGTTTGTAGTCATTCCAGGTGCGATTAAAATCAACGGAACCATTCATTCTCTTCTGGAAGACTGTCCATCCCCCACCGGAAGTAGTTTGGTCACAAAAGACATTAAAGGCACCTAAGCCATCTGGGTCGATTGTGTAAACACCGCTGATCCTTTGACCGGAATGGTAGAGCTCAACACAGTTCTTAGCTGTTGATAAAATACAAGGGAATAACAGTCGATATTCTCTTGAAAAATAACGATTAAAAATTGAAATGAATACGTGTTACTAAAGGTAGTAACACGCATGAACGAAGAGGAATCGTGCTTACGTCTCGCCGATGTTTTGTTCTCCGTGAGAATTTTAACCTCAAATCGAATTTGGGTGACTTCCTTCATTATTTCTTCTAAACAGACGGCAGTGTTCTCTCGGCAATCTATTGGGAATGCCCGCGTTGATGGTAGAATTTGAAAATTCACAGATAGTGCCAGAAAAAGCAGAGCAGAACCTGAAGAAAAGAAACCTCATTATATGGTGTGAATTCACTGCTTAGGGCTGATCCAGGTTTAATAAGGGGGTCGGATTAACATATGCTGAAGAACTAAAGGTCTTGGAGGGGTGAATAGATAGCATACTCTCACACAAAAATATTAAATTTTAGGTCACCCGAAAGGTTATTTTTAGCGTTTTAAGGGATAATTGTCAAAAACTGCACTTTCTTAAAAGTTTTTCATGGATGATGGTAGATGAAGGCAAAAGATGATAGAAAAAGTGAGATGAAGGTGGTTCAAGAAGAATGACGGTAGATGAGGTTGGAATAAGGCAAGTGAACGTAATCTGTGGTAGGTAAGAGTAGATGACGGTAGATAAAAGCAAATAAATGCAAAATATTGTTTGTACCTTCAGGGAAATGAAATTAGATGAAGGTTCTTGAAGGTAGAATAGGGCCGATGAAGGCAAATGGAGGTAGATGATGGTATATTTAGGAGATGAAAGTAAATAAAAGAAGTTGAAGGTTAATTAATTCGAAGTTAAATGAAGGTAGAAGATGGTAAATAAAGGTAGATGTAGGTAAATGGCGGTAAAAGAAGGAAAATGTAAACGAAGATAAGTGAAAGTAGATAAAAGTAAATAAAGATAGATGAAGGTGAATGAAGGTATAAGATAGTAGATAAGGTTGATGACAGTAGACGAAGGAAGAAGGAGGATGAAGGAGGATGAAGGAGGATGAAGGTATGTGAAGCTAAATTATGGTAGATGAAAGTGGATGAGGTAGATGAAGGTAAAAGATACTAGCTGAAGGAGGATAAGGATAAATGACAGTAGCTGAAGAACAATGAAGGAAATAAAAGGAGAAGGAAGATAGACCAGGGTACATAAAGATAGACATACAAAGGCAAATGAAGGTCTCTGAAGGTAAAGAATGATAGATGAAAGTAGACGACAGTCAATGAAGGTAGATGAAAGCAGAGGAAGGCAGATGAAGATGAATAATAGTAATGGAGGGTGATCAAGGCAAATGATCGCAGATGAAGAAATCTGGTCGCAGTTGAAGGCAGATGAAGGCAAATGATTATTATTTTAGGTTGATGAAGGTAGATGAGGCTAAAGGAAGATAGATGAAGGACAAGGAAGAGCAATGAAGGATAGAAAGGTAAACGAAATAATAACATAGTGAAATAAGGTAGATATAGTTAGCTAAAGAAAATTAAGGTATTAAAGCCAAGATAAAGATAATGAAGTAAAACGATGAGATGACGGTAAATAATTGTAGCTAAAGGTAAATGGAGATAGATAAAGGACGATGAATGTCAGTGATGGTAGAAAAAAGGACAATGAAGGGCAATGATGGTAGCTTAAGAAAGCTGAAGGTAGACAAAGAAAGATGAATAGAAATGAAAGTAAATATAGGTCAGTGAAAGTGGATAAAGAAAAAAAGATGAGGTAGATGGTGGTGAGTGAATATTGCTGAATAGATAATTGAAACAGATGAAGGTATTTTAAGGTAAATGCTGGGAGATGAAAGTAAACGAAGGCACAAAGGTAAATTTCGATGAAGGTAGGTGTCGATGAAGGTAAATGAAGGTAGAATATGTCAGGTGAAGGAAGATGAAAGTGGATGAAGGTCAATGAACGGAAATGAAAGTAGATAATGGTAGATGAAAGCAGAGGAAGGTAGATGAGAAGAATGTGGATAAAGAAATATGAGGGTAAATAAAGGAAAATAATTGTGATTGAAGGTAAATGCAGGCAGCTGAATGATTTTTTTTGTAGCGAAGATGCGTTGTTAGAACTAAATTATAATGCTTCTTATTAGAAAATTGCAAATAAAATACCCCATTTGGGAGAGAAAACAGACATAGCAACGTTGCGGCTTTTACTAAAGGATCAAGGCTATCACGTAAAGTGTAGGTGTGTCGTCTGGTAACTTTCAGCATCAAATAAACGAATTTCGGAGGATATTTTTTCGAAATTAATGTACTTCGTCACATTGTACGTTTTGTTTACTCTCTTCAGGTCTAAAGGAGATTCTCAGCCTTATCTTTTGTGAATCATAGGTACATACGAAGAACATGAACGAAGAAATCTGTATGAAACAGTTCGCTTAAGTATCATACTTGAAGTAGGTAAGCAAAACACACTAGGTAAAGATGTCTCTTGAAGTCAAAGCCTTGGTGCTTCATTTACTGCATCGCCGCCGAGAAAAAGGTCAATTTTTTCACCACCAAGACCAGTAACAAAGAAGGAACTACCATTTAGTGCGGATAATACATTCTCGCATACCTTTTTAGGAATTTTAAAGTCCAGCCAACTTGAGAAACAGCATATGTAACATTACCCTTTTGTGTTCGCTTATACCGCAAACATAAATTGGTTAGTTATTATAGAGGCTTCAACATTAATTCGATGACACCTTTTCTCACAAGCTCATGCGCAAAATCAATCAGAGGCTCGGGTAATTTGAATGTGCAAATAGGACATTACAGACCACGCTTTAGTGGAATACTTAGACCTTTGACACTGAGAAACTACGCTATCTCTATTTTGCTCTACTACTGGAACAAGCAAGCATCAGGAGACCAAAGCAAGATCAATCAATATTTTCTTCACAATTGATGATTAATTTAGCTGGTGTAGATGTCGCCAATCTTGATTTATAATTCGCACTCGGAAACATTTTAAAGCTATTTTATTAGTAGTTCAAACCAACAACAATCTTCAAAACTCGCTACAGCTGTTTGCCTCTTCAGACTAAGGAGCTCTAACATTAAATGACGTACTTGTTTCACTAAAAAAAAAAAAAGAAAAATTGGCACAGTGTTTGCGGTATCAGATACCTATTCCTCGTTAGGGAAATCTCATCGTAATGATTTAGGTGCAACTCTTTAGAGGTATGCAGCACGCATATACAACCGAAAAGAAAATGAAAAACTCTACAGAAAATGTGGCGGCAAGCTTTATAACCTGATGCGACTCTACCTACCGCTGAGTTCGTATTACCGGACAGGAAGCCTGCACCTATTTTTTCCTGCCACTAATCTTTTTGCTCTGCATGATACTTCGCTTATTGTCAAAGACACCAATACTTATATCAATTTTCTCGAGAATGACCGTCTCGAATTTTCCTGAAATTGCTTATTATGATATACTTAGGACATTAAGAAATTGCGCGTTTGATGTCATCTATGATCTTAGCAACACTCAACAAAACATTTCCGGAAACAAATATTAAGGCAAGAGGAAAAATTTGTAAATTTTGATTTTGTGGTTGGCCATCATAATCCCTCCGAGCCCGAGGATAAAGGAAAAAGAAAGAAGAACTTCATCGCTTTGCCTGCCCCGATGATCGTGAGCTGGACGACATCGTCGAGGGAACTGAGGTAAACTGCGTCTCGGGTTTGCCTAACTTATCAAATTCTTCTAACTCCTCTAGAGTTAAGATGAGGCCATGTAAACACTGATAAAGTTCTTCATTGTGTAGTTGTCCAGAGAAAGGCCTTATATGTTTGACGATCTCAGAGGCTTTCCTTTTTTAAAATTATTCATCGGCAATCGTATCGAAAAGAATATCCTTCCATTCAAGCTAGGAAATGGAAAGTGTTCTGCTATGTGCGAATAACGCATGCATCTTCCGCTGTCTAACTAAAACTTGATTTATTTGCGCACGTGCCCCTCTCCAATTGATACCATAACGAACTACCAGGTTATTATCCGGTGACGTGAAAACACAGTCACTGCGGGTGATTGTTTAACCGATTAAATTAGATTGCTGATTACAAAAAGAAACAAATGACTTAAAATAAGTTACTTGTAATGACCTTGGCGCCATAAAACGGATAAAGTTTCCACGTTTGACTCCAGCGAAAAGTCTTCCGTTGAATTGCTCATTAGGGAATCTTACTCCTTGCCTTTTGATTTTTATCTATGATATACGCCGTGGCATAAACGTGTAATGGTGAATGGTGCATGGGAATATAAAATGAATTTAATTGCAATGATAGTCAGAACCCAGTGACATCATCAGTCAATCATCAATTAATGCGATCGATTGGTAGATATACCGATCAATTTTTTAGGTCGGGTATTTCCATTTTTGACATAAAATATAACAAGTTCTCGTCGTAGGTAACATTATTACAGAGCTAGTGAACTCATATAATCAAATTCAAATGCGCGAGCATGCGTCATGATCCAATTTTGCACGTTTCTAGCGTCAGCCACCAAATGCATCGAGATTGAAAATTCCCCCCCGTGACTCATTGAAAAGTTTCCGCCCAGCTTGGCTGCGAATTTTTTTATTTCCGAGATGCATTTCTCCTGTCCATACTGATTAAGAAATACCTTTAGGAACTCTAAATGGTAAACAAATTTATGGAAGCAAGTGTACAATTTAAGGAGGTGCATCATCATACAATCCGCCAAGAATTGCAACTTAAGAAGCCGATATGTGTTTCTCTTCAAAAGCTTGGCCGAACGATTTTTTGGGGAAATGTCCGATGTGATATAATCGAAGTTTACAGCTGAACTCAACAGGCTAAGTGTGCAATACAAAGTGGTTGTTTGAAATAGCCTCAATTGTATTCAAGCCCACGGAAATTCAACAGCATTCCTTTCAGAGTTAAATAATGTAAACATTTAAAAGCAATTTGATTTATTTTCACAAATCGCTAACCTTTTTGTCGTTTTCAACATGAGAGCTTTCGCACTGAATTCGAAGTCGTGACATCTTCATCCTTACTTACTGAATCGGCTTTCATGGGATATGAGAGCGAAACGTGAAGTTTGGTTAAGTTGTTACTAGCAGCTGACTTTTACTTTCAAAACTTCAGTTAATAATGACTATGACTGTAGCCGAAAAGCCAAAAAATGGGAAACCGAAATGATACCACTGCCAGCCTGTTCTAAGCCATTTCACCGGTTT